GATAGATAGATAGATAGATAGATAGATAGATAGATAGATAGATAGATAGGCAGGGTCTGTCACAATTGAATGGTCCTCAAGAGATTGGTTGTAAGTCAGGAACTACCTTTAAATCTTGGCTGCCAAATCAGTCAATGAACCAACAGAAAGAACTAGAAAAAACACCAAACATGAAAGCTTGAATTGCTAACAATTGTGAAAATAGTTCCAATTTTTTTAAAAAAGCAAAAGAATAAAAGAGTTAACATTTGATTTTAAATGTATGCCTGCTGGATGGAGGACATGGACCAAATGGAAGACATATTCTCCTTTTGCTGTACGTTCAGTAACTTGTAGTTATCCCACGTTACTCACCACAACCGGAGCTGGAATTTAAGAAAAGTCCAATTAAACCCAGGTAACTTTGTTACAATCCAGGATGGATCCAATCTTTCTTATTATCTATCAGTCTCTGTGTTTATATTTATGATATGTTAACAGGAAATCATACAAAATAAAATTGAATTTATTTTCAGAGTGAGAAAGAAACTACCAGTATACAATTGTTATGTATAGATATATATACTGTATATAACACATATTAAACATGCATTTATCGTTATTTAAACTTCAATCTATTCCATATTTTTCATTTGCTTCACTCAATGTTTGTTCCAATTCTTGTAGATGTATGCCCGTAATGATGAATCTATGAAATGTGTCCAACATTTTGGGTGACATATCAGTGTTCAACAACACCCAACAACAACTAATCTTGAAAACACACCCTGTTTTCATGTGATATTTGGAGGCTGCTGAAAGCCTGATATGGCTTCCTAGCCTCAAACCTCAGCATGGATATTTTCCAATGAAACGGACCGAGGCAGGAAGATCATTTCATTACGATTTGTTCAAAGTGCTCTGATTAAAAAGGATTCCTCTCATTCAAAGAGAACCTCTCGATTCTCAGCTTAAATTCTATTTCATTGTTAACACATTAAAGAAAATGTAAGAAAAGTTGATTGGACAGGACAAAAGTAACTTCCCCTTTGCATAGGAAATCAGTTACATGTAGTCAAATACGTTACATATAAGTCTATTTAAATGAGGTCTGATGAAAGCAAGGGCATTTAAGATGTTAATGAGGAAAAAAGTCTTAAGTTTGTTTGGAGTTCACAGAGAGAGACAAACCAAAGTGGTCCTCTACTTAGAGTTCATGTAGTGACTGTTTGAAATGGCACTGAAAAAGGTGAATTATGACCATTTTTCACACTTATGACTGTTGCATAATCTCCATGGTCACGTGATTTACATTTGGATGCTTGGCAACTTGCAGAGAAAGGATGGAGCAGAAAAAGGCTGTGGATGAACTAAAACAGGAGTCTCCAACCTTGGCAACTTTAAGATTTGTTGACTTCAACTCTCAAATTTTCTCCGCCAGCCAATCTGGATGAGAAACTCTGGGAGTTGAAGTTCACAAGTCATAAAATTGCCAAGATTGGAGACCCCCTGAACTAGAGCTACCAATTAAAGGTAGTCCTCCACTTACATCAGTTCATTTAATGACCGGTTGAAGTTACAATGGCACTGAAAAAAGTGACATGATTGTTTTTCACACCTAAGATGTTTCAGTAGCCCCATGGAC